ATGTTATAGAATTCTGCTTTTTTTATATTGCCAGAATTATTTTTCTGGTTGTTTCTCATTTGGGTCAACCCTTTCTTCTTCTTATTCTTGGAATTATGTTTAATTGAACTTGATTTTTAAATTTTTTTCCTTGTGAGCATATAATTTTAATGTGTTTATTTTATGGTTACCTAGTTTTGGCTCTGGGTGCTTTCAGTGGCAAAGACTCTGCATGAGTTCCCTTGTTATAGAGAATCTTTGTGTTATGGCTTTCTCAGATGCTGGTTGTGGTAGCAATGTGCTGGCTGTGTGAGCAGGTTTGTTGTCTCCTGTGGGGCTTGAATGAGAGAGGGCTCATGAATCTCATTTTGTTCTGTAGCAATGTACACTTTTTAATTATTCTTCCATTACCATGATGATTATGATTATTTTACTGTAGTGTACAGTTCAGGCTTCAGGCCAGTATGAGTTTCCCAAGAGTAAAATCTGGCTGTGGCTGAATTATGTGGGTATGAGCAATTCCCTAATGGTGGGCAGAGGTCCCAACCTTGAAAGAGGTGGCTAAGGGAACTCTCAGTGAAAAGCAATGAGCTCCTCATAGGGGCAAAAGAGAGAGCCTCCTTAGCCCCACTTCCAGACCAGCAGAAAAAGGATCTGTCTCCTTCTCACACACAAATCCTAGTGTTCTGGCTATTCAGATCAGACAGACACCTCTTCCCAACTACAGGAATGCTGATGTTCCATGTAAAAAAGGATTGTGACTCTACCCCTCATGCAAGTCTGAGTCCAGAGGGCACTTCCCCTGTGGGATGCAGTCTCCCTAATGTGGTCCAGAAAAGCTGTCTACAGGTAAATCTGTCCTGAGCTACCATGGGAGAAGCCTCAGTTGTGTTGGTGGTGGAAAGTGGTGGGGAGAAGAAGTCCCCTTTTTCAGTAATCTTCAGAAGTACTGTGGCTGCCTGTCTGTTGGGTAGAATATCAGGTTTTCTCCACTGAGCCCAGCACTGTACCTGTGCCTCTGCTCAAAGAAGCTTTCCACAAGTGGAAAGATCTGGGACTCAAGTCCTACAATCTGGTTTCTTGTGTCCCATTGGGTGCTCCCTGGATGTGCTGCACTCTGCCTTCCTATAGGAGTGGCAGTTCTTGGGGGCCAGACTACTGTGAATTCTGCTGCTTCTCTGAGTTTAGTTGCCCTTTGGGGCTGCCAAAATCCAGGCTCGGCTGGGGACTGTCTACAAGAGATCCAGTGTTGTGAAGATACACAGGTTGTGAAGATGCACAGGTCTGTCCAGGTTGAAGGTCTATGGACAGAAGAAGTCCCACAATGGGTGTGCAACTAGTATGGTGCTTGTCACTACAGCTCAGGTCCAGTGGGTAAAGGAAGAGACCTTGTGTAAACAAGATAATGCCCTTGAGAAGTCCCCAAATTACAGCTCAGTCCAATACTTGTGCTCTTGAGGGCAAAGAAGCTCTCATTGAGCTTGGACATCAATAATCTACTGTAGGGGATAGGGAGGCTGAGAGTACTCCCACTTACAATGTTCATGGTTTTCTGAGTATCTCAGAGTTTGATATCTGCCAGTTTCTTATTACCTTCTTTTTGTGTGTGTCTCACAGATTTTTCCAGTGAACTCTCCAGTGGGCTCCAGCACTCTTCCCTTAACACTTTATTTGCACTATGATTATTCACCTGTAATTTTGGTTCTACTTTCTGAGAAGAATTGGTCACTGATATTTCTTGTCAGCCATCTCAAGCTCTCTGGTGCCTCAGGCTATGGACAAGTCTGGTATTTGCAATGGCTGGGGCTCTGCTCTTAGCTCCAGAGGGGGGTGATATTGTGTGAAGCTAGACTAAGCTAACCTATCCTCTGGTCTCCCAGCATTAGATTGAAGCACCAACTCTGATGAGAATGGCAGGGGAGTGACATAGACTCTAAGATTTCCTACATTATCAGTAGCCTTAGTGTGGTAGCTTTCTCAAATGCCAGCTGTAGTAGTAATGTACAGGGCATGTGGACAGGTTTATGACCTCCTAACTAGCTGAGATGATGTGGGCAATGTTGTAAGCTGAAGTTGCACAAGTGTTTTGACTGTTGTTGTTTTTTCTTCACAAGCACTGTGTTACTGTGGCAGCAGATGTTCTAATGGGTCATGCCAGTTGGTCTCCAGCCAGGAGGTGACACTTGCAGGACAGAGTAAGCTGTGTTGGTGGTTGTGGGATTTGTGCTTTGCTTATGTTACCTAGGAGAGATACTCAGATGTCTCAGGCAATGGGCAGGGCCATGGAATTGGCAAATCTCTTTTTGTTTTGTTATTCTACCAGAGGAGGTGGAGGAACAAACATGGATAGGGGTTGGGTCAAGCAAGTCCATACTCTGGGCTCCCCATGTGCAGGCACCATTGGCGGCCCCAATAGGAACCAGAGGGCAGTCCCCTAGTTGCTGGTGTAATGTTCTGGGGAGGAGCACAGCTGCCTCTGTTGCACATAAGTTTCTGCATGGGAGATGGGGTAGCAAGTGGTAGTAAGACCCACCCAGTTCCCACACCCTTGGCAAGGCACACCTTACACATACAGACTTCTGCTGACAACAGTTTTCTGGGTCCCAGGGCAATGTACACTCAGAACATACAATTATCCCAGGCCACAATTCTTGCTACTAAAGACAGAAACCGAAGCTTTGCAGCCATGCCACTCCTCATTTTCCTATGAAATAGGTATGCCCAGCTCCTGCACCTGTGGTAAAAGCACACTTCCCACTCATCCCTTAGTTTTGGCCAAGGAGTTTGTTCTCACTTGAGATCAGATTGCAAACCTAGATTGGGAGACATTAGAAAGTTCAAACCTGTCCAGCACTTTGGGAGGCCGAGACGGGCGGATCACAAGGTCAGGAGATCGAGACCATCCTGGCTGACATGGTGAAACCCTGTCTCTACTTTAAAAATACAAAAAACTAGCCGGGTGAGGTGGCGGGCGCCTGTAGTCCCAGCTACTCGGGAGGCTGAGGCAGGAGAATGGCGTGAACCCGGGAGGCGGAGCTTGCAGTGAGCTGAGATCCAGCCACTGCACTCCAGCCTGGGAAGCAGAGCGAGACTCCGTATTAAAAAAAAAAAAAAAAAAAAAGTAAGTTCAAACCTGTGACCACCACCTGAGTTAGCTGGCAGACATCTCCCAAGTCAAGTAAGAGGTAGGATCAGGAATGGCTTCCTTCCATCCCTGCTGTGTTCTGAGAGTGCATGCAAAGCAAGTCCTGATGCTGCTCCTTCTCATATACTCTCCACCCCTCACCAGATCAGCTCCAGTGCTGGGTAGGGTTAAGGCACTCCACTGTGGCCTGGATTGCCCAGCTCCCCCATAGGAGATGTGTATCACAGAGGCAGTCTCCCCCACTTTCACTTTCTGAAGACACAGTTTTCCACTTGGCTCACAGTGCAGGTTGCTGATCACCATTTCTCTCCAAGAGTCTGTGATTCCTTTCTTTTTTTCTGTTGAGTTCCTATATTTCTTCTCAGTTAAAAGTTCACAGCATGAATTCATGAATTTCTACACAATCTTTTGCTCTGTCCAAGTGGATGAGGCATGCTAATGAAGCCTTCAATCCACCACCTTGGAAAACACAAAGAGTTAAAAAATATTTAAGTGAGCATTTGGACTTTTGATTAAGCATAATTCTCACTGGCTGAGAGGTAGAGAGAAACTGACTACCACCGGTATGGTACCCCAAAACGTGAGACTTGATTTGTGGATGACAGGGCTTCCTTCACGCCAAGGTTAGCAATGTACCTTAGACCCAGTCCATAAAAATAAAGTAACATCACAAATTAGTTCAGGTGCATACTCTTTCATGTCTGTTATATTGATTGACTATGCCTATAGCTTAACAAATACAGTACAGTTTTCCCAAATTCTGCACCAAAGCTGGATTTTTCTAAATGCTAAGCATATTTTCGGACTAAAAGTCATATCATTTTTGCCTCACCTTGGATGCTGGATAAATTTTAGGCACCAGATCTTTCTCCTGAAGATTCTGATTCATGAAGACATGGCAGTTCTTAAGTATCTATACTTTTTATAGACACTAAATGCAAGTTTTAAGAAACATTGTTGTAAGTAACATTGCCTGTATTATACATGTTGGTGATTCCATCATGCAATCACAATAGTCAAAGTCAATTTAATGAAGTAAATACCATGGAACATGTTTATTCAGCAAAGTATTCAATGATTGAGAAATGTGTCTGCTTCATCATTTAAACATATAATTAGACTACTGATTTTTCAGAGCTTTATCAAATATTTGGACATCAACAAAGAACTAACATTACATTTTGAAATTGCAAGAATATTCCAATTCTTATAGTCTATCCTGTTTCCAAAGCAGATTCACCTCCTTGTGTAGGAAGGCACTATGTAATAGCATTCTCTAGAATCCAGCAGCAGAAAAGGATTATGAGAGGAGTCATAAGAATGTATAGCACCAGATCATAAAGGTCAACACGTGCCCCAGTGGTCATAAGTAATTTCGCCGTTACTTTCTCTGTAGAAAGGGAGAGAGAAAACAAAACAAAACATAACAAAATGTGTCAGATTCCCTCATGGTGTCCAAAATGCTTCTCAGTGACTTAGAATTTGAAAAGTACATGAGTTGGACAGCCTGGATTCTACTTCTTCAATATCTATACTCTGCAATTCCCCAGACCCTTCACATATTGTTTGTCCTGTTGTGGGGCTATTTTGTCAGTCCTGATTCAGTACGGTGACCCATGCTGAGTTGAGGAAGGAGAGAATGAGAAGGAAACCGTTTAACCCTTATGTCTCCCACTTTACAGCATATTGATCCAATTCTGGTTATTATAAAAGATTCTATTCTGTAATCCCAGCACTTTGGAAGGCCTAGGAGATTTCTTGAGCCCAGCAGTTCAAGAGTAGCCTATACCATACAGTGAGAGCTTTGTCTGTACCAAGAAAAAAAAAATTACCTGTCTGTGATGGCAGCACCTGTAGTCCCAGCTCCTGGGGAGGCTGAGATGGGAGAACTGCTTAAATCTGGGAGGTTGAGGCTGCAGAAACAATAGTTGTGACAGTGAATTCCAGCCTGGGCAACAGAGTGGGAGACTGTCTCAAAAAATAATATAAAAATTAAAAAAGATATTTTATCAAATTAAGTATGATAAACTAATTTGAGTATTTGAAAACAAGCCAGCATCATTATGTACATAGTTCAAGTTAACCTACTTTGGGAAGTAGGGAGATCTTGGGTAAAGTTTGAGTGTTTTCTCAAGTTTCAGTGGAAAAAAAAAGCTGTTTACTGTGTATATGATTGTAGGTTGAGAGGAACTCAGTAATTCCTAGCATATTGACACTGTTTTTTCTATACAAAGAGAAAATATTTACCATTGTGCCCTTACCTTTCTGCGATGCAAAACAGGCATGAGTTATCATAGGTTTTACCACTGGATCCACAGATAGAAGGAAATTTCCTGGTGTAATCAAGTGCTGGGTCTTTGTATATGTCACAGTTTGGCTACAAAATCCAGAGACAAAAAAAATAAACAGAGAGTACACATCTAAAAAATATTCTCAACATTTTCATAACTTTTGTTTCTCTATCAATGGGTCTCCTCAAAATCCATTCCACTTCCATCTCAGAAGTAAACATTAAACAAAATTTTTAATTTATAATTCAGTTGCTTTTCTAATACTTTCACCATATATGTAGTTATTCTGAAAATTATGTGTTAATTAATTTTAGAAGTTTTTGAAATGTAAATGCATAAATATAACTTTCTGGTTTTCTAAAAATATTTTTGCAAGTATAGATTACTTTCATTGAAATCTTATATAATTACTTATTAAAACAATATATTTTCTCATCCTTAACACATTAATATGGTAAATCATTATATGCTAATTTGAGTATATATTTTACTAACAATAATAAACTTAGTAAAATAAACTTTCTTATAAAATTAAGTAAACTTTGTTATATTTTGTCAACATTTTTATACATTGCTGTATTGTGTGTGCTAAAATTTTATTTAATATTTTTGAATCTATGTTAATGCTGACATTTTTATCCATTGGTAAAATTGAAAGGTTGACAGTGAATTCAATTGCATAAATTTATAGATAATTGATCTTTCTTTCAAGATACTCTTAAGAGCACCTCTTTGAATTCATTGGTTAGTTGTTTTGTTACAATAGGTTTAAATGTGGATTCTTATATAATGTTTTTGTGGTTAGAATGCATTGAAACCCTTAAATTATTCGTGATAGCCAAAAAGTAGAAGCAATCAAATGTTCTTCAACTGATGAATGGATAAATAAACATGCAATATCATCCGTCAATGGCATTCAAGGATAAAAAGAAATGAAGTACTGATTAATGCTACAAAATGTACGAATCTTTGAAACATTATACTATGTTAGAGAAACCAGTCACACATATTGTACAATTCCATTTCATATGAAACGTCTAGAAAAGGTAAATCCATAGATACAGGAATTGCATTAGCAGTTCCCCGGAGTGAGAGGTCCCGAAATGGCGACCAACAGTAAATGAGCATTTAGAGTCTAATAACAGTAACAAAAATGTTCTAAACCTGAACTAGCGTGACAATTTTACTATTTGATAAATAAATTTTTAAGACAATAAATTATTTATTTTAATTGGGTTAATTATGATATATAAATATATCACAGTAAATTTATTCATAAAAATGTATACTGATAGTATAAATGTAAATAAAATCAAATTTACTTAACTTCCAAGCTGCCCAGAGGTAATGAGGACCACCTAAATCTCTCTATGAGTCCTCCAGACCTATATTAAGTATCAAGAACAACAAATAAAATTGCATAAATCACTTGTATTTGACATAATTTGAAGACAGAATAAAATTACTCACTTCCCATTAACTGTACATATAAAAAGGAGCATCAAATTTTGGAAGAGTCATTACTTAACGTCCTAGTGCAAGCAAGCTTCTTACAGAGAACAGAAGGTGAAGGAATGAGCTTGAATGAAGGCCACAGAAAGAAAAAAGAAAACCTACAAAAACCACGAAAGAGAGAAGTGGGAAACTGAAAACACAATTCAGGTAAAATCTGGGGAAAGTCTATAATTCATACTAAAAAATATAAAAGAGACTTGGTAGGCAAGAACATGTTTAGCATGAAATATATTAAAAGTAAATGAGATTCAAAATGGAGGTCTCAGAAAGGCATCACCTCTCCATAAGGAAAAGTAAAAAAGAAAAAAAAAGGAGGGGGAGTACAGAGAGCAGAGAAAGGCATCCTTCAGAAACAGTGTGGAAAAAGTAAAACGAAGCACATAGAGGACCTTTAGAATAAATGCAATACAATAGAGAACTAGAGTAAAAGGATAACACCACACACACATACACACACACACACACACACACACACAGACCCCTCGCATTACTCCAGTGAAGTAACTACAATTTGCTTTAGTGACTGAAAAGGACACTCTTTCAATATGAACCTTGTAAACCAAGCCACACTGACAGCTACTGTTTCTACAAAAATGTAAGAAAAAAATGCCGTCTTCATATAAAAATACATACAACTCTTATAAGAAGAAAACAAATAAGCAGCAAAATTGGGAATCACACAGCTTCACCTGAAACTTCCTGGCCTTGGAAATAGAAAATCACAGTAAAATGATAATTTAATGAAACACCTAAAACAAAATCAATTAAATAATCTTCAGAAATCATTTGCAGATGTGAAAACAAACCCCTTCTATCTAAAGTCGAACTCCAGAACAAAAATTGGTATCTTCAAAAATGTGTGAAATAACACTTGATTGAAAATAGAACAAAATCAAAGTTAATGCAAACATATTTCAGAAATAAATATTAAATTGAAAGGTGCCCAATGAAGGATAGGTTTCAATAAACATTCAGGCAAAAGAAAACGTGTAGTAAGTGAATATTAGGCCTTATTTTAGCATTTTAGTAATGAATGCACTTTAGCCAAATGAGAGATTATTGGACAATGTTTGTCAAAGGAACGATTGTAAAGTATTTAACATATTTATTTTTATTTAATATAAAACACAGATAGGTAAGATGTAGAAGAATGTAGAAAATTTTATACGTTCTAAAAATTTTAAAACATGAAATTTACCCAAACAAGAAGAGAAAGATAGATTATAAAGAGGTTGCTGCTTTTCTATAGGGGATAGGTAAAAGGGAAGTATTTCCATGAAACCCAGACAAATCAGACATAATAAATAAATAAATAAATAAATAAATATTTTTAAAAACCAAGAAGTGCTTTAATTTAAAAAGTAAAATGAAACTTTTCTAAATGTGGAAGGATGTATAGAGCACCAAAACAAAGAAATCACATAGGCTAGAGATAACAATAACATAGCATAATAAACATAGTGATTTTAACAATACGTTATATAACATTATTGAGACTACATTTATCTGTTATCTTAATAGGCATGAGTGGAACATACTCACTAATTAAATTAAATAGATTTTCAATTTGACACACATAGCAAGACCCACTGTACGCTATATATGTAATATGCACCCAACTCTAAGTGAATGAAAAGCTTACAAATAGAAAAATATGCAAATGTATGCCAAGCATAAGGATAAAATTAGAAATCATGTACTGTTCTTCCAGTATCAAAGAAAGTATAGTTCAAGTCAAATGTCATTAAATATGACATGAAATGATACTTTGTAATGGTAGAAGTTACAATTCACAAGAAAAATAGGACAGTTCTGAATATCTATTACAAAACTAAGAAGGCATATCTATGAAACAAAAACTAAAAAAGATGACAGAAATAGATAAAAACAGAATAGTAATAAGAGATTTCAACATTCCACCTATGGTGAAAGACAGATCAGTGCATAAATAACAGATTAGAATACAGATTTAAACATATAATCATAAGTAGTTTTATGAATATATCAAGTGATATACTCTGATAATAAGCATACATCTTCTCAGGTACACACTGGATGTACACAAAAATTGTTCTATATTAGATCACAAAAAAACATCAGTAAGCTCCACTGGGTAAGTGTAATATAAGCAAAATTCTAATCACAATTACATAAAATTAAAAATTAGTATCAACATGAAAAAGTCCATCACACTGAGAAATAAATAAAAATATTATAAACAATACTTGGAATTTTTCAAAAAGTGATAAAATTAGATTATTCACAAAATATAATGAAAATGATAATGATCTTTATTAGAATCAATTTGATGCATTTTAAGCAGTGAACAAAAAAGAAACCTCAAAGCATTAAACACGTGTATCAACAAAAATGAACAGAATAAAAATAGAATTAAAATTGCCATTAAAAAGCTAGAAATGAATAATGAAAAAACAGAGGGCATAAAGATAACTACAAAATAAAGCCACAATTGAATACAGTAGATTTCATTAAGTGTAGTTGATAATCCAGGGTTTTTGAAAAAATAACAAAATAAAGAAACTAATATAATTAAGAAAAATGTGAGAGACATAACAATGCAGTGTATAATAGGAACAGTCATTGAAATGCAGAAAATTGAAATAATACAAAAGACTAATTTGCATAACTCATTACAAATAAACTTGAAATTCCAAAAGAAAGAAACAAGCTTTTACAAAAACACAATCTGTCCAACTTAACCCCCTGAGATGTAAAAAACTTGCAAAGACTAGTTTCTTTCTCTTAACAAATGTTCCAACATTTATTAAGAGAAAAACCACACAGAAAAGAACAAAGTCCCAATGGATTTCAAAAAAGTTCAACTCTCAAAATTAGACAGCCCTCTATGTTATACAGAGAATACAAAAATCCAAGGAAATGTTCATGTTTTAATGAAGCAAGTAAAATATACATACCTAAACTTGATAAAAAGAATACATGATAGTAAATTTGCAGGCTGATATCACAAATGTTAACAAATAAAATATTACTGAACAGAATCAAAAATAAATGTTTTATAAGTAAGCGATGTCCACATGGGATTTACCATCATTAAAGTTTGATTCAATACTAGAAATTCATTCATTATTACATATTAATAGTTGCTAAGAAAAAATTATATAATTATCTTTATAAGGGCTGTAAAAGCATTTGAAAAACTAAATATAACTTTCAAACAAAAATATTTAAGAATACAGCATTTACTTAATTTCCAGTCACATACATACAGTCTCACACACACGTATCTCTTCTTATGTCATTTACTTAACGATTTCCAGTCACACACATACAGATAGTCTCTCTCACACACACACACATATCTTCTTATGTCAGCACCTTACTAGAAGCATTTTTGCTAAATAGAAAAAAAAGCAAAGATGTTCATATCTCTAGTGTTACTTACTATTGTTTAGCTATTAGCCAGTGTATTAAACAATATAATTCAACTAGAGGCATAAAAAAGAAAAAAAATAAAATTGCTAATTGCATCTGTTTGCAGATACTATTACAGTGCAACAGGGAGATATGAGGAATCATTTAAAATGAACTTAAATGGTGAAAGAATATAGGACTTTCATAGAATATAAAGTTAACATACATGACTTGATTACTCCTATATATATAAACCTAGTCTGTTGGAAAGTATAATTAATGCTAGAGAAAGCCTCTTTAAAATTACATCAAAGATAAAACAGGAATACAATTAACGAGTGATGTGCAATTTTAAATAAAGAATAATTGTGATTTTGCAAGATGACTGACTAGATGCAGCCAGATGGAACAGCTGCCACCGAGGGACCAGGACGACTAACACACTCCTAACAGATCTTTACGGGGAAGGCACTGAGGGTGGATGAAGGGAAGACACAGAAGCTGGGCTACAGGTGGAGGAAGCTGGGAACACTGCACAGGGCTACCATGCACCAGGGACTCATTTCCTGGGCCCCAGTGACTCCAGGGGACCAGGTGAGTTGAACTAGCAAGAAGCAACCAACAATCGTCATGAACCTCTGGAATCCTGGCAAGATTTCATGGTGCCAGGATTTTGATGAGGTGCATGAAGGCTGGCACCCCAGCACCCATCAGCACCCTGTAGCAACTGATGATGAACATGCACCTTGCATGGATGGATCTCACTGCCACCACCCTACAAAACACATCGGATGGCACCACTTAACCACCACAGATATTTGAGTTGGCAGGGAGAGCTGCTTAGAGAAGTGGTAGGGGCGGCAGTCAGCCAGTGTGGAGCCCAGAGGGTTTGGTATGAGAGTGTCTGCTGTGGGGCATGGCCCGGGGTGTCCATCCCACTAGGTTCGACTTGCTCTCATAGGATTCTTTAGCCCTAAGGGAAATGTAGGACCTAAACTCTGCAAGGCAGTCTTTCCCATCAGATGGGGCCAGTCTGACCCAAGCATCCCTTGGTCTGCTGACCTTTCCCAGGGCCCCAGCCTGGGTGCACCTGCTTGCAGTGCAGCCACAGGTGCCTTGGGGCCTGCATCACAGCTCCTGCACTGCTGGACCACATCTTGTGCATAGGTGGAGTGCTCCAGTGAGGCATCCTGGAGACCACACACAAGCCTACCAGCTCCCTCCTTCAACTGCAGCTTCCCCAAGGTCCACAGACACACCCACATCACTTTGTAGGTACCTGCGAGTGCGGGCAGATTTAGCCTTTCTTTCCCTGCCAGTGCATGTGGGCACATGCCCCCTTACCCTGCACTGCCTGTGCTGCTGGTGTCAATGTACTCCAGCTCCCTCACCCCACTTGACCACCATGGCAGTAAGAGCCTTGGCAGGCAAAGCTTGCCAGCCCCACCCTTGCCAGTGCCCTGCCCCAGTGCCAACA